ACTTGTACCTGAATGGCAATATTGCGATCCTGAGCAACTTCAAGTTCTTTATTTTTCTCAGTTAGCGCCTTCAGTTGATTGTCTGGATAAAAGGAATTTTATGAACATAAACACATAAACTTAAAAACTGCAATGATAGTTTTCATCCATCTGCCACCCATATATACACTTTAAAATGAAGAAACTGAGTCTCAGAAAGGCTGACTTATAGAACATAGTATTCCAAATTCATGAATACCCCAAATTTACTCTACTTCTAAACCAAACTTTTTTTCTTCTTTTTTTTAAAAGATTTTATTTTGAGAGAGAGCAAGCACGCGCGCAGACGCAGGTGGAGCAGCAGAGGGCGAGGGAGAAGCAGGCTCCCTGCTGAGCTGGGAGACCAATGCAGGCTTTGATCCCAGGACCCTGGGATCATGACCTGAGCTGAAGGCAGATGCTTAACCGACTGAGCCACCCAGGCGCCCCCCTCCTCCTTTTTTTAAGTAGGCATCACGCCCCGTGTGGAGCCCAACACGGGGATAGAACTCAAGACCCTGAGATCAAGGCCTGAGCTGAAACCAAGAGTCGGACACCCAACCTGAGCCACCCAAGTGCCCCAAGACCAAATTTTTAAATATGCTATCCTGTCTCCAAAATCTTATTTGTGATCATTCTAACCAACATTTATAGGAAAAAGCATATACAATTGTCACTTTAATCATTTTTCAATGACTCTTCTAAGTCAATCATAACAATGAATTATATTTACAAATCAGAAAATTTGAGTTAAAAAAAACAAGATCAAGAAAATAAATAACATTTAAACTATATAACATGTATACAGAGTAAATAACAACAATGGATAATTATGATTCAGCTTGTTCATCACTCTAAAAAGAGCCTTCAACATGGAGGAAACAAAATTATGCTTGAAACTGAATTGTCAATCCCAACAATCTCCACTTATAATGGTCTAACTCCTTGTATAGTTTCTTCTCTAAAAGCATGCAGATAACTAGGAAGAATATACTTTCTGAAACTTCCTTCCACTAAAACACATCTATATTATGTGCTAGCAATTTAATAAATAAATATATTATTACTACTTCCAATCTTTAGTTCTATTTAAACAAGTGGCTTATTATAGGGGAAAACCCTGTTAAATTAGTCTGAATTTTCTATTTTGCATTATATTACTTACTGTTTTCCAAACTTACAGATCTGGAATGATAAACCAAAAAAACACAAACTTAACTGTATATACCCCAGAGAGGCATACTAGATGTGTGTCTAGGTTTATCCTCATCTTCTCCTCCTCCTCTCCCTTCCAGATCATATAAAAGAAGCTATAATCACAGTAATTTTCCTGAAATGCTTTAGCACCTCTGCTCTACAGACCTAGTTACTACACCAAGGAAGAACTATATACAGATGATGAACCAGATCTAGCTACTCGATAAATTTAAATTTTATGCCCTCATTACATGTGTATAAATACCATTGTACATATATGCCACATATTTTAAAAATTAAGTGCTTCAAAATTAGCTAGAAAAAAATTATGACCTAAATAGTTGATAGGCACAGACCTGGTTAAGAAAAAAGGCTTAGGTGTTAACCATTCTCTTATTAGCTTCCTGTGTTCCCAAATTAAAAATCCAGCTACATCTAATAACATATTATGCCCCCATTCTATAAAGATCTTTTCTGACATTTGCTCTTTCCTATTATTAGCATAGCACAGAATACACATCATTTTCCCAAGAAATGCCAGTGCCTTTAACTAAGATCTTGTGTACCTTCTAGAACTTAATGATATATGTAAACTTATTAAAAAGGAAATTATGTGGGGCACCTGAGTAGAACAGTCTATCAAGCATCTGACTCTTGGTTTCAGCTCAGGTCATGATCTCAGGGTCATGAGATCAAGCCCCATGTGGGGGTCCACGCTCAGCACAGAAACCGCTTAAGATCCTCTCCCCCGCCCTCTGTACTTTCTCTCTAAAAATAAATAAATCTTAAAAAAAAAAAAAGGAAATTACTCATCTTTCCCAAGAAACAGGTCTTAAAGGGGAAATATCCTGGGATTCATAAATACTTATAAAAAATATAACAGTTAAGGGGCGCCTGGGTGGCTCAGTTGGTTAAGCGACTGCCTTCGGCTCAGGTCATGGTCCTGGAGTCCCGGGATCGAGTCCCGCATCGGGCTCCCTGCTCGGCAGCGAGTCTGCTTCTCCCTCTGACCCTCCTCCCTCTCATGCTCTCTGTCTCTCATTCTCTCTCTCTCAAATAAATAAATAAAATCTTAAAAAAAAAAAAATTTATATATAAAAAAAATAACAGTTAAAATATAATAATGAAACTAATAAGCTTTATTCTTCAACAAATTAAAAATAATTCTCTCTCCTTAATTGTGTTTTCAGTTGCATAATGCTTTATGACTTTTAAAGATGCTTTCAAAAATCTCATTTGATCTGTACAGTTATGTAAGCAGATGGACAGGTGGTTCTAGCCATTTTATATGTTATGATTTACATACGGCAAAAGAGTTTTTAATAGCAGTCAGAATTAGAACCCAGGTCTCCTAGCCATTCATTATGCCTTATGCTCTCAATGAAGTCTACCATCAAGTGAAAACTCAAAATACCACCATAAATGGAAACAATGACAATCAGTATTTTCGTAAACAGTAAGTCAATGTTTCGAGAGCATACAAAAGAGTGCCTAAAGATCTCCATACTACAAGAATAAAATAAGGATGTAAAAATACTTACTGAGCTTCTCTAGGTCAAGCCTCAAGCTTTGGCACTCTCGGGTTTCATTCACAAGTCTCTCCTGACTGTGGGACAGCCTCTTCTCTATCTCAAAGTACTGTTGTTCTTCAGAAGCAGAGAAAAAAATTAAAATCAAACACACATGTATACACACCGTCAATACTACTACTTATTTTTAACAGTGTTGATTTTAATATTTAAGACATAGTATTTGAACTGCACTCCAAATAACAGAATTTGAGTAAAGATAATTAGATCACTGAAAGGACTTTAACATTTCCAACTTACAAATGACAAAAGAAAGTAAGACCTACAGGGGCTTTTCCAACTTCTGTCTATTCCACAAGACTGAAATTCTTCAAGGTAGGCAACATGTCTTACTTATCTTAGTACTTTCCCCACACGTCAGTAGACATTTTAGTATAAAGCAGACACCATGTACAAAAAAATTAGATTAAAAACTACTTTGTTTTAAAACGTTGTGTTAAAAGACAGTGTATACTGCTCAGCATAGTAACAAGCACACAGAAGACAATCGATATTTATGTGTATATTAAAGAACAGACGCGGTGCATCTTCAGAGTTGGGATTCAGAGAATTACTTTTCGACACCAATTCTGCTGGATAATTACATTTTTTGAAGTGATAATGTATTCAGAATTTTCAACCAATTTAGCAAAAACAGCACCGTACCCCCCACGCCCCCAGGTAAACCAGGACAAATAACAGTTTGCATTTCACTAACGGTAATTACTACGGTCTTAATCTTTCTTCACGGATATTCAAGTTACTATTATCCGTAACTTTCTTACTCGAGGGTCTACTGTAAGTACCTATAAACAGGTCTTTAAACTCCAACTTTTAGAAAGAATTCCGATGTATCAAACTTATTTTCGTTCGCTGTGTTTCCAACGCTGTCTTATGCACCTACTCATGTATGTGACCATCTAGTTCGTTACCTGACCAGCGCGAAAGACTAAAAAAGAGAAGTGCACGAAGCAGGCCATTAGACAAAGACCTCTGAATCCAGGTGACCAGAAAAGTGAGAGGAAATTACTAGCAAAGCAACATAAAGAGACGGTACTCTAAGCTTAGAGATAGGGGTCGCAGACTCGCGCTAGTCCGGAGTAAATATGCCCAGATCTTCACAATTTCTGTGCGCCGAACATTAAGTGGTCCCTACGTGAGACCACACTGATTACAAAGAAGACGGAACGAAGTGTAAATTCAGTTTAGAACAAACAAAAGAGCTCCATTTCAAACTGTGGGCGCAAGTAAGAGAAGGCCTAGGGGGGTGTAAGGGGCCGGGGAAGCGATGCCACCAGTGAAGTCGTAGGCAGAGAGCGAGCTTGCAAGGGGAGAAGACCAGCCATAGCTACGGAGTCGGGCCCAGAATCAAGGGCGGGAAGAGCGTCGCCACTTACCACTCTCCACCTTAAATTTCTCATGCCGCCCCTTCAGGCCATCGATCTCGGATTGCTGGTCAGCAAGGAACTTTTCGAGTTTGTTCTGGACGGACTTAGGCAGCTTATTCAGCTCCGTGCGCTCCAGCACTTGCTGCAACACCGCCGCCATGTCGACCGGGCCGGAGGTCGCGGGGCCGGCAGCCGGCGGAGCAGAAACCGAGAAGAAAGGCGAAGACCAAGAGAACCCAGAAGCCTGGGCGGCCACCTCGACCACCTCGCTCCGCGGCTCGCGTGCGCCTGCCCGCCGGAGACTCCCGCGGCGGGACCCTGGGAAATAGAGTCCTGCCTTAGGGCCGGCGCCACACGCGCCACAGCGCTCGCGCCCGAAGTGCGCGCGCAGCCGCCGGAAGCTGGGCACCCTGGGAATCCGAGTTCAGCCGCGGCCCCTGACCCTGTCTGATTTCCGGCTCCCCAGTCCACCCGCCTCGAGCCGCGCGGGCCTGTGGGAAACGTAGTGTTTTCCTCAATCCCTTCCGTGCGCCTGACTGCGCACCGCCCATTCCACTTCCTTTTTTCTCCCCGCCCCCCGGCTCTCCTCCCCCGGCAGCATAACCGCTGTCCGCGAGATGGCGCCACCGAGTATTCGTCAACTTAGGTCCCACCCTGAAAAGCAAGGCGACCTTACCGTCAAAGCTCCGGGATGCCATGGGTCGTCCTCTTTGGCGGCTTCTAGACACTGAGCCACTAGAGGGCATCGGTCCGGGCAGGGCTGGACGGCAGGCGCCGGGCTACCGCCACGCTCTCAATGGCGCCCGGAAGGGGGCGGGGTGGCGACCGCAGTCGCTTGGGCTGAGGTACTGCGGTGAAGGAAGGGGGGCAGCGTGCGTCATCAGACCGCGCCACCTGACTCCAGAGACCCTCGGTTTGCAGTGGGAAGTGAGGTGTGGGAAGTCTGTCGCTTTCTGATGAATTCATTGGCTGTGAAATTTGGACCCGAGGGGAATCTGGCCCCTGGAGGCTTATACTTGCGCCGTAAAGCTCCTTCTCAGGAGGACTGACAGTTCGACAGATTCATCTGTCAGGCGGGCACATTTTGAGCGCAGGTGAGTCAGCCTACGGGTGTAGTACTTCTGTGTGAGGGTTGAGTGTGTGCGTTCGGGCTCAGAGAGCCTCCTTCTGAAGGAAGATGGAAAGGGACCGAGTGTAGGAAACATACGGGCAGACACTCCGGTACCACACTCGAGTCCGTTTATGACAAAATTTATTTAAGATGGAGCGCTTAATGCCTTCTGTGTGTATGTGGCGGGGTGGGGAACAACGAGCCAACAAGAATTTAAGGAGCCCGTTTCATTTTTCAGGAAGAGGATTTAAAGTAAAGCAGGAGGACTTTGAGTGTGGCCTTTGTTTTTATGTTTTAAGGTAATATTGTAGAAAGTGCTACCATGTGTTTATGTTTTTAAGATGGAAAAACCTTTAGAGCAGAAGTTTTAAAACACGTTCTTAAAAACCGCTTATCACCTTGCCTCCATAATAGAACTACTTGTTTCCAGATTGTAATTCTGTGATTTCTATGCTGAATCTGTAGATTATTTCATGTTTAATTATTCTTCCGAAAGAACTTCTTAACTTTTTCATTGAAAATAAAGCATTCCCAATTCATTCCCCCCTCAGTTCCCACAGTAGCAGCCCTTTTGTGAATATTATTAAGGATAAGTTAATTTTGCCCCAAAATATTTTATATAAGCACTTTAATTAAGGTTGGTGGTATGCGTAGTACTGTGCTATGCCCTTGGCTCACTATTAGTGATCTACTATTTGGAAAATGCAGATATTCTGTACTCGGAATCACAATCCTAAAACTAGATAGATCTTCAGAATTGCCTGATCCAAATTCTTTATTTTATAAACTAGGAAACCAGAATCCAAAGAGATTGAATTGTCTCAAGTCACAGTGCTTGGACAACTTGCATAGCTTATGTTGTCACACAACACTTCAGGATAAATTAAACTGTTTTAGGCAAGATCTATGTTTTTAGTAATGTCCTTTGTAAGGTATGGTTGGCTATATTTTAAAGTTTTGAAGAAGCATTAAAGTAATATGATTACTGGGTGACACCTTGGAAAAAATAAGATTGGGAAGTTACATGTAATTTTGGAGTCACCGTCACTGCTTTTTCTTGGAATAACTGAGAATTATTAAGGCAGAAGGAAAAGGAGTAGAATAGTATGATGAAGAAGAGGAAAGTTTAATACGTTAAGGCACTATTAAAAGTGGAAAGCCTTTAAATTTATAGCAGCATTAATGATTTAGATGGGCAGTTCTAGACTTAGTCTAAAAATAACTCTTGTGCAAACCCAATTTACTTGCACAGTTGTTGGGAAAGAGTTGGGAAGAAATTTAATGCATTTTGAGACAAAACTGCAGGCTCTTTGAAAAAAACAGCATCCAGTAGGCAATTTCAAACTGGAATCAATTCTTTGGGCTTTACTTTTAGAGTAATGCAAAATCATTGTGATTGGCAATTTACTTTACTGATGGCAGATATACCACCCCAGCTCATCTGCAGTTGTTTCGACTTTGTTGTACTAAATAAGATTGAAGGTTTTTACACAGCTCAAGTGACTGTTATTTCTATTCAAGGTGCTGCAACTGTCCTTTACAAACTGGAGAGAGAGTAAGAGAGTGCACAGAACAGGAACCACCCTTTGTAAAGGTTTAATTGAGAGACGAGGTATGTTTCCATAGTATGAACATAGCATTTAAGGGCATGGATTCTAGGGCTAGACTGCCTGAGTTTAAATCCCACCTTTGCCATTTACCAGCTTTGTTGCTTGGGCAAGTTACATTTCTTTTCTTCCTTTTGGTTTCTTAATCTATAAAACAAGGGTTATAATGATAGTACTTACCTCCTGGAGTTTTTGTGAATATTACAGATGTTACCATATATAAAGTACTTAGAATAATGCCTTATACAAAATCGAAACTATGTAAATGTCCATTATTGCATTGCTACTCATTGAATTCCATAATTCTGATTATACTATGAGTTACTCAAGGGCATAAGTCAAGTATTCTTCACCTTTGTGCCATCCCACTTGGCACAATTTCTAGCACATAGTAATTCTTCATAGTATGCTTATTGAGTAAGTGAATTTGGTTCTCTCTACCTCCTAAGAGCAGCTCAGAAATTGTCCTCTTTCCTGTTTTAGAAATGAGCACAATGAGGTTCAGCAAGAGACTATCAAAGATGATACAACTAAGGAGTAGCAAATTAAATAAAAAATCAGGTGTGTTAGTGTTCTCTCCCCTATCTTAGATATGGAAGTGGGTTTTTATCTTTTATGTCAGCTCTAGTTGACTGGTAGTCATTTCCAGCAGTACTGTGTTGAGAATTTTGAAGCTAAATTTGAACTTTGCAGGAAAGAATACCCTACTTAACAAGCAGTCTCTGTAAGGCATGGGATAGTATCAGGATGCTACCACTTCTGTCTCTGTACAACCCCATGACAAAAACATGGCAAATTATATTTTTACCTAAAAGTGGTGTATATTTTTTTCTTGGAATTTAGGAGAGTGAATTAGTTCCTAATAATGGGAAGAACCTACATTGTAGAAGAGACTGTTGGCCAGTATCTTTCAAACATAAATCTTCAAGGAAAGGCTTTTGTCTCTGGTCTTTTAATTGGACAGGTATGTATCTTTCAGTGCATTTATTGATAAAACAAATTAGCTCTTTATTTAAAGTTAAAATGTGCTATTTAACGGTAAGCTCAAGGTTAGGGAATGGAGGAATGGAATGTAGAAGAACTTAAAATGGTCTTTGAGGAAAAATGTGGAGAAGCAGGACAAACCTAGCCCAGGTTTGCTTAAGTCAGAATGCATTCCCTTTTGACAATGTAAAAGTAACTCATAATGTAGAAACTCTAAAATTAGAATTTCACTAATCAAATTATACATATTTTATTGTCTTTCCAAGTGTTTTTTACTCTCTTCTAATCTTTATTAATTCCTGGTTGTCTAATTCTTTGCAAAAGTAGCTTTTGACAACTTTATTCCCATTGTTTGTTTTATTTCAGTCTTATGGCGATTGTGGTCATGTCTTTTGTTACATGCTATGGTACTCACTCATCTTACTGAATTTTTTTTTAATGTTGATTCAGTGGAGAGAGGGAAAGGGAATAGGAGAAATTTGCAAATAAGACATTTTATTTTCCTTTTGGAGTTAAGCCTTAAAAATCAACACAAAATGGAACAGAGATTTGGGCAGTTACTTTAAAAAGCATAAGCATCAGGGGCGCCTGGGTGGCTCAGTTGGTTAAACAACTGCCTTCCGCTCAGGTCATGATCCTGGAGTCCCGGGATCGAGTCCCGCATCGGGCTCCCTGCTCAGCGGGAAGCCTGCTTCTCCCTCTGCTTGTGCTCTCTCTCTCTGACAAATAAGTGAATAACATCTTAAAAAAATTAAAAAAAAAAAAAGCATAAGCATCTGCTGATTTATTATAATTGAAGAAAAAATATGTTAATCAGCAGGGAGGACAGGCCAGCAGTAGAAAGCAACAAAAAAAGGAGAGTCAGGGACAAACTGGCTACTCCATCTAAACACTATTTAGGGGAGAGTGCACTGTGGCCCAAGGACTTGATTTTGATACCTAGAAGCAAAAAGAGTTTTATTGTGACAATTTTCTTTCTGAATATTTTATCATAATGCCTTAGAACCTTCAAATTGCATAATTAACTTCTCTTGTTCCAATTCTATCCAGATTTTGAAGCTACTTCCTCCTGTAATTTGAGCCCCATGTTATCTACTTACAAAGAATGTACTGTCAAGGAGAGTCATGTGTTCACACTCCTTCATAGTATTCTTGTTTTCAGCATCATTCTGAATGAGCTTAATGTCAGTCTAGCCCTGAGAGACCAGATCATTCTCAGCGTTTTCACAAATCTGATTTCTTAACTTGTAAGACAGAGAGTAGACTCTGTACTATTCACCCAGGTAACACTACCCTATGAGGCCTCTCCTTAGACAGCCCAACTACCCTTCTTGGTAATAATCTGAACTACTTTTTTTTTTTTTTAAAGATTTTTTTTATTTATTTGAGACAGAGACAGACAGAGCACAAGCAGCAGAGGGAGAGGGAGAAGCAGACTCCCCGCTGAGGAGGTAGCCCAATGCGGGGCTTGATCCCAGGACCCCCGACGTCATGACCTGAGCCGAAGGCAGCCGCCCAACTGACTGAGCCACTTCGGCTCAGCCCTGAATACTTTTTGATTGAGGTTACTTGCATCCAATATTGGGCTCTTTTTGTTAGGAACTTTTTATTTAAGGTTTTCTACTTCCCTATATTTAAGAAAGTTTAAGGGAATAAGAGTCTCAGAGAAAGGTATCCTCAGTAGAGATAAAAGGTCAGGGAGAAATAACCCTCTTCCAAACTTGCCTTACTCACATAGGCTGTTTCTAGAGCTTGGCAAAACCACCATCTTACAAATAAGTCTCCCACAGTTTAGGATTTTCCTTCCAGTCTTTCCTTATGCTATCTTTTCATCCTTTCCAGTTATTTTCTTTTTCTTTATTCCAGGGCTCATCACTTTTTTCTTCTTTCCCTCAAGCTTGCCTGTTTCCTATTCTCTGGGTCAGTTTCTTTTTCTTTTTAAAGTCATGCTTTCTTAATCAGCACCTGCCTTTTCCTTTGTGCATTTGAATGTAACTTTCGGGAAATAACTTTTGTAGAAATAATTTCTCTTCCTTTATTTTCTATTCCAGGATGACACTCCTAATGGCAATTTCAGGTCATGTATAAGAATGACACCATGCTAACTGGTTTTATCTGCCTTATTTTTACTTTTTCTTTACAGCAAACTTTCACTGTAGTGAGACTGAGCTATTAAAACTTCCCTGAATTTAGGGTGCCTGGGTGGCTCAGTTGGTTAAGCGACTGCCTTCAGCTCAGGTCATGATCCTGGAGTCCCAGGATCGAGTCCCACATCAGGCTCCCTGCTCAGCGGGGAGTCTGCTTCTCCCTCTGATCCTCTTCCCTCTCATGCTCTCTGTCTCTCATTCTTTCTCTCTCAAATAAATAAATAAAATTAAAAAAAAAAAAAAAAAAGAAAATCCTTTAAAAAAAAAAAAACTTCCCTGAATTTATCTTCAGATATCCCACCTTTGTTTACCATTTAAGTGCTATTAAAACTCAGGAATATAAATCTGATACGGCTTCAATTATGTATCCCACATCCCCTTTGCTTTTCTGTGGATACACATCTACAAGTTCCCTACTATCATTGTTTCAATGGAAGTAAGAAACACAAGGTCATTTGTTGCTTTATTTTACGGAGTTTTTATATCTGCTGAACCATTCCATCTGTTCAGATTATTTAGAAGATAAATATAATAACTAGAAAACTGATCAAGCATATTTTAGTTAAAGTACAGTATATTCACTTATCCAGTAAGCTGTTTTTAAAGACCATTGTATGATTCACATTCAGAATGCCCAAACAAATAAGAAGCTGATATTAAGTATATAAATAAATGTTGTGTGAGGGAAACATTGTAAGGCTATTCATGAAAATTGGTTTCCCCATAGCTTCCATTATAAGTATTAACAATTTAAGCTGCTATGAATATTACTGTTTTTGCATGTCACAAGAGCTTTATTTTCTTCAATCAGATGTCACTCTAATAAGCTTTTCTAATTTGTTTTTAAGTGTTCTTCACAAAAGGATTATGTCATTCTTGCCACTAGAACACCACCCAAAGAGGAACAAAATGAGAACCTCACACATCAACAAAAAGCTAAGTTGGATAACTTGGATGAAGAATGGGCCACAGAACATGCCAACCAGGTCATCATATTTGTCTTTTTATATAGTTAAGTTGTGCTTATTGACTAACAAAATAAAAGCACTTCATCCTCAGATTACTAGACTAGGATTTCAGAGTACTCATTTTTAAGTCTTCAAAACTTGCATAGTATATCAATGATAGAAGTATTTTTGTTCTGTTTCATCCATGATTATATTTTTCATTTGTTGATTACTTGTGTATAATTTTAAAAAGTATTTTTTACTTGAGTTTAAATAACCCACCCAAGATTACATAATAAGTGATGGAACTGGGATTTGAACCCAGGCAGTCTGATTTGGAAGCCTTTGACTTTATATGCTGTGCTTTTATTATTTATTTATTTATTTATTTATTTATTTATTTATTTATTAAAGATTTTATTTATTTATTTGAGAGAGAGAGAATGAGAGAGAACACATGAGATGGGATAGGGTCAGAGGGCAAAGCAGACTCCCTGCCGAGCAGGGAGCCCAATGCGGGACTCGATCCAGGGACTCCAGGATCATGACCTGAGCTGAAGGCAGTCGCTTAACCAACTGAGCCACCCAGGCGCCCTATATGCTGTGCTTTTAGATTGTTAACCTTTATGCACTGTTTTTTAACCTCTCTTTATTATTGGTCCTTTAGCTTATTTACAAGTATTCTTTAAAATAATACTAGTTATTGACAATAAAGTTGTTGGTCAGATTGTTTTAAAGACTTAACGTGGGTACTGAGAGAATAAAATGATGGTTTGGTTAGGTTCTTTTTAATGTCCTTAGAATGTATGTTGTAACCAAAGTGAAAGACATTATTACCACAAGAGAAATGGGATAAAAGTAGAAAAGTGCTATAAGAATATAGAATGGTGAATAATTAAGTACCTGCCCATGGCTTCACAGAAGGTTCTGAACTTGTAAGATGAATAGGACTGCCAGTAGAAGTCAGAGAACACACTGAACACACAAAGGACTGTATGAATACATGATCCAAAGGCATGAAAGTTAAAGGCAGGGGAAGAGGTAGGGACAGAGCAAGCAATTGGGTATAACTGAAACACGGTTATTTAAAAGAATGTATTTAGACAGAAGGTTGGAAGGGGCCAGTTTATGGATGGTTTTGGAGTGCCATCCTAAGAAGGAGTTTGATAGATAGTAGCTCTGTGGTAGACTTTCAGAGCTCCCTATCTTGAGAAGGAGTTGATATGATTGATCAGTCATTTAGAAAATAATTTCAATACCTTGACACAGTATAAATGGAGGGTAGAGAGACTGAACATCAGTTACTGTTATAGTTCAAAAAAAGATGATGTGAGCCCATTCTAGACTAAGCTTTGTGAAGATGGATCACATCTGTTTTGTTTATGGCTATATCCTCAATGCCAAGCATAGTATTTCCATAGTTTACAAGAACTCCAAAATACTGAATAAGTGAATGCATGAATTAACTAATGCAGTGAGTTAAAACTTCACTGCCAAAACACTCCAGTCACAGCGCTAGTAGCAAGATGATTTAGTGACCAAGTAGACTGGGAATGAAAAGCATTTGAGAAAGTAGCTAAAGATGACAGAGATTTCTAGCCTGGATGTTTAGGAAGATGGTGTTGCCATTTCATAGAAGGAAACAGATTTGGGAGTGGGTGAGAGGGAATGGTGAGTAAATACACTTGAAAGTAGTCATTGAATGGATTGTGTCAACTAATAGGAAATTTTAGAGTAAGGTAAAAGTAATCATTTCCATCTCCCATCAACTTTAAAATTTTCAGAGATGCACGTTTATCTGTATGTGTGTCTGTATTTGTGATGGGGGGTTGTGTGTAGTAAAAGAATCTAAGAAATTTTTAATATCATCTAATGAAAATATTAAATATTTTAAACTTAAATTCCCAGTGGTTTCTAAATAATTTTAGACTCCAGTTTTGTTGTTGGTTTCTTGTAAAACTATATACTTATACATATGTATATAGCACATACATACCTATATGTATAGAGAGATGTGTATCATACACGTACGCATACAAACATAAAATTTTTATAGCAAAATAGGTTAACCTTTTTGCCCCTAGAAAGAAACAGCTACTTTTATGTGTTGGTAATTTTGAAAATATGCATATTTCCATGCCAAATATGAAAACTTTGTTCTTTATTTATATGTCAAGCTTGTGCTACTATAATGAATAGGATTTATGAAATCATAGGGAACCACCAGCAGACACTAAATAAATATATTCAGGAATAGACTATGGTATCTAAGAAGATTTAACTTTCTGATCAGTTTTCTTATGTACTGAGTACACACAAAAAAAGCACTTTGATCTCTGAGTTTAGATGGTAGAAAGAAGTCCATGTGTATTAAGAACTAGCCACAATCACGTGAAGGGAAATAACATATTATGGAGAACAAATTGGTAGTGTGGGTCAGAAACCTTAAAAATAAGCATAACTTCATAAACTAGTAATCCACTTCAAGAAATTTATTCTAAGCAAATAATCCCATGAACACAGAAAGCCTTGCTAGAATTTTTACAATATTATTTTAGAGTAAAGAAAAATTGGAAATAACATTCATATGCAATATAATAAAGAGATGTAAAAAATTAAAATAAATGTAAAAAATAGGAAACAATAGATTTTCAAGTCAGATCCCCTCTCTTCAAATCCCAAACTTTAGTAATCTTCTGAATATTAATAGGTATACAGAGTTAGTTGAGAATCACTTCTTCCCTTAAAGAACTTCCAGACCATTGAATACAAGTAATTATAACACAGGCTTGTCTGATAAGTTCCATGGGAAAACTACACCAAAGTCTTATGGGAGTTGGGAGATCAAAGTATCAGGGAAGGCAGCTTCCTCAAGCTGACTTTGAAGTATTCAATAGAGTTCAGACACAGAGAAGGTAAGGGAGAGTCAGTTTAGCCTGAGGGAGCAGTCTGAATGAAGGTATAGAGTTAGCCAGGTATATGTATGGTATTTCAGGGAAAGTAATATCAAGTGAGGCTCTGAGTATCAGATTAGCTAGATTTTAGGGTCTGAAATACCAGTAGTAGATAAATTTATATATTATTTAGGTGACAGTAGAAGCCATTGAAAAATTTTTAGAAGGTATTTCAGTCTGTGATCTTGTGAGAAGGGTTTGTTTATTGATGTAGTTAAAGGGTGTCATTACTAATGGTATTAAATAGCTTTAGTTATAAAGGCAAAAAAGTAAGGACACTCTAGGAACATTGTGTATATAACGACGCCCCTTCATCATGGTTACCAAATATTTCTCAATATTTTAACCCGTTTTTCAAAGCTCCCACCTCAATGCTATGCATATAGTTGGTGCTCAAGAGTATTTGCTGATTTAATATTTAGCTTATCAAACACAAAAGATTGCATATAATGGCAAATACTTATGTTAACTAATACTATATTTTTATTTTTAGGTGTCCAGAATGCTACCAGGGGGACTTTTAGTTCTTGGAGTATTTATCATTACAACTTTAGAAATGGGAAATGATTTTCAGAATGCCCTGCGCAGAGTAAGTCTGAAATATCAAAAATTCTTAGTATGATCAAAGTTACTTTTTTTTTTTTTTTAAAGCAAGCTCCACACCCAGCATGGAGTCCAACATGGGGCTTGAACTCACAACCTTAAGATCAAGATCTGAGCTGAGATTAAGAGTCAGATGCTTAACCAACTGAATCACCCAGGCGCCCCAAAGTTATGTCATATTTTAATTGATTATACTTATAAACAATGATCCTAGGCATATTTAGATTAGTATTCCATAATTCTTTATGCTGGGATTATGTTGAAACCGCTTTTTCCATCCAACTGCTTGGTATTTTGAGCATTAAAAAAATGTCAATATTTCTATTTTCAATCAAAGCTATATATTTTTAAATAGCTTTAAGTTTAAAGATAATTTTTTACTATTATGAGACAAATTATAATGGTTTAAGAGTTTTTCTTATACAATAGCAATATTCTGCTAGAGCTTCCTTTTAGTTCCAAGTGATTGCTGTAATGCGAAGTTGATAGATTTTGTGATTCTTCACCTGTTCAATATTCTCAAGATCCTGAGAGTAAAACATAATCAGATTCGGGGCGCCTGGGTGGCTCAGTCGTTAAGCGTCTGCCTTCGGCTCAGGTCGTGATCCCAGGGTCCTGGGATCAAGCCCCGCATCCGGCTCCCTGCTTGGCGGGAAGCCTGCTTCTCCCTCTCCTGCTCCCCCTGCTTGTGTTCCCTCTCTCGCTGTGTCTCTGTCTGTCAAATAAATAAATAAAATCTTTAAAAAAAAATAAATAAATAAATAATCAGATTCTTTATTCCTGGACAGAGTATCTATCATTAGTCCCCTCCTTTTTTTATTCCCATATCAGTAAATTGGGTAACATAGTATGTAAATAAATATGAAGGTCAACAAGCTGTTTCCCCTTAAGCCCAAATCTAAAGCAAACTTTGTGCAGGCAGCTTTCATCTCTTTTAGTACTCAGGATCCAAATGAGCCTTCAAAAAGTTCTTTCCCACCCCAAGAGAGGGGGGGACCCTATAATCTTGAGAAGTGCAAAACCCCACAGAATCTCCAAAAAACATTTTCTAGTAAAAAAGTGTGCAGCCAGTAAGAATCACAGTTGCTACAGTTTCTTCCAGTTTTGTAACCTTTCCTGTCAAATGTCCCACATTAAATCTTTGCAATTTTACCTAAGGGAGAAAGGGAAGAAAATGGAGATATTCCTCCCCCCTGGCTAGTTACTCAACTTTCTGCTGTTTTTTCCATTTTAAATAAATGTACCTTTCACAGTTGTTCATCTTCTTTGACATTTTGAAATGTAATCTAAATGTGTTTTTAATCTCATTGGTTGTGCATCCTTTTGTGGTTGGCACTGGATTGCATAGGGTGAATGTGGGCTCAATGCTAGAGAGATACAGTTGGTCCTCTTTCTTTTTTTTTTTTTTTTTTTAAGATTTTTTATTTATTTGACAGAGAGAGACAGTGAGAGAGGGAACACAAGCAGGGGGAGTGGGAGAGGGAGAAGCAGGCTTCCCGCTGAGCAGGGAGCCTGATGTGGGGCTTGATCCCAGGACCCTGGGATCATAATCTGAGCCAAAGGCAGACGCTTAACGACTGAGCCACCCAGGCAGCCCCCAAGTACACGGTCCTCTTTCCTTTTGCTTCGAAGAAATTTCTTTTGATATAATTATTAAGAAAGTTGTGCCTCTTCTCATCAATTGTGTTCAGTTTATGGGCCATGTGAATTAGGTAACAGATTAGGTTTGTCTGTGCACATTATTATTAGGAGGTTTAGAGTCAAATTTATGATCCCTCTACTCATATCAGGTATGCATTTTTATAGTTCTTATTTCTGGCATAAATGTATGTCACTATTTCTGATTTTTTTTTTACTTTCAGTTTGTTACTACTATATTTTATGTGTACTGTATAGTGCCTTATATCTTTTGTGATATTTAGTAAGAAATCCCAAAAGGGTGACCTGCTTCATTTTTGTAGGTTAAAAGTCACTTGTCATTTCTCATTCTAATTAAAATAGTCTTTATTCTATACTTCTAAACTTAAATCCTAATTACCCAAAATTAATTTCTTATGTCCAGTTGATCAATGACCGTGATTTATATTTTTACATTTAGAACCCAAATTTTATAGATCCCTGAAAATGGAATCCAAAAAGTTAATAATCAGTTTTACTCTTTCTTTTGAAGGAAATAAAATTTAATGATAGAATCATGGAATTTTAAAGCTAATTAGGAGCTTAGAGACATTATAATTATCTTTTTTCTGCATTCACTTTTGTTCTCTTATTTTGCATTAAGTTGATGTGTGTTTTGCTCTCTTTCAGCTAGTATTTGCTATGGAAAAATCTATGAATAAAAGGAGATTGTGGAATTTCACAGAAGAGGAGATCTCAGAACGAGTGACACTTCACATTTGTTCTTCTACAAAAAAGTATCTTTTATTTAGGTGTTTATATTTTAAAGTATGTGATATCAAAATAATGTTCCTGCAGTTTTTTCCCGAAATATTTATTTAAATTGTATTTTGAAAACAGGCATAATTTGGAAGTTTTTCCTTCAAATAACACATAATTAGGACTGCCAATAATAATAATAGAAATAATGGTCGTTAATCATGTCTTAGGATTGTTAAAGAGTTTAAGAAAGGTGGCAAGGACTGGGGATTCTGAGCTCTTTACCAGCCAACTACCCCATTTTTTGATGCTTAGTAGGTCCTCTACAAGAGAGGTCGATGCCCATCTGACAGCTTAGGCAAAGTAATGGCTTTTATCATGTTAAATTTTCACCTCCAGTTCAAAATGTCCAATTCAGAGCACAGATAATACTGAGCTGGACACTGTAGGACATCCAAGAGATTTTTATGTCTTTAGCCAAGATCAAGTGACACTAAAAGCCTCCTTAGGGCCTTCTTAGCTTCTTTCCTCTACATCTTGCCAGAGGCAGCCACACCAAGGGAGCGAAGCAGTGCAAGGGACCAGTAAATCAGGACTTGCAAAAGACAAAATTCAAAAACTGATCATTCCTGCAGAAGCTGAGCTTGTAACTCATTTATAGGCCCTTTGACCCAATAAACATTTTCAGACTTGACTCCATTCAAAACAGCACTCCTATTTGTTATAGAGGATGTGTATTTGAGGAAAATTTTGCAAGTGCTTCCATTCTATTCATTGTGATTAGCAGGATTTTAAGCAATAGGGAATAGTTTAAAGCACCACAAGTATTATAGTCAGAACAGTTTTTGTGTACATATATATTAGTTTATACAAAATATGAATGTATATATGTTTATTTACAAGTTATATGTGTATTTGTGCAAACATACATATAAATATATATGTATATCTTTAAGTATACGAAGTGGTATGATTTTATAAAAACTCTTGGATGCATGTACTTTATTTTGATTTTTTGATAGTTTATTTTCTTTTGATTATCAAGAATTCTCTTTTTTTGGTTATTTCTATCCTTAATCAGTAAAGAATATTTTGTCGAACTTATGATATCCATGATCCAAAGGTAAGAAAAATTGCTTTTTAAAGATTTTTGTATTACAAAGTATTTTTAAAATAAAATTCAATTATTTTAAAATTTTTCAGTGCTTTCACTTCTTACTGATGTCTACAACCACCTGCACTTTTTGTTTTGAAATATGATTAATTTCATTACAAGCAAGGAAAAAAGTTTTTGTTGTTGTTCAAATACTTTTCTTAAGCTCCCCCTACCTATTTATGCATTTAGTATTATATTTGAGAGGTTGGTAGTAAAAGCATCTGGGCTTTTGGTAGTTACGTTGCCTAGTAAGCAAGCTACCTACTAGCAGAATCCAGACTAACATTTTGCTAAGGTGTCTAAAAGCAATATGAAAAAGTAACTTCACAGTACTGTGTTAAGAGAGGATAGGACAGAAAGGAGAACATCTGGCACCTGGCAAATAACCACCTGTTCAGTGGTTATTTGCTTCACACACAAGCTTCTGAATTGACACTGTCAAAGTTACAGATGAGAACCAGAGAACGGATTCTTTTTAACCTAGCACTGGGGGATGGAGTTGCCAAGGCTGTCTGGAATGTATTGAAGGATAGTGAATTTAATGCATGCTTTATTTCTATTTAGTTTTAACCTGTTGCCCTTTAATGAAAGAAGTTGGCCAAATATGTTAGATATCAGCTTGTATGATTTATTAGGTTTTTAAGAAAGGTGGCAAGGACTGGGGATTCTGAGCTCTTTACCAGCCAACTACCCCATTTTTTGATGCTTAGATTTTATATTTTATTGATCCGTGTATTTTACCTAAATCACATATTTTATGTTTTTCCACCTTCCCCACTGCTAAAGAGTTCAGCAAAACCAGCAGATTGGAAGTATCAAAATGGACTATCAACTTCATGGCTTTCATTAGAGTGTACAGTTCATATTAATATTCACATCCCACTGTCTACCACTTCTGTCAGCTATACTCTGGAGAAAAATACAAAGGTATCAGGGCAAAATGAATTTTCTTTAGTGATCACTGAACAGATAATCTGCTTTTATTTTGGTTGTCTATGCCATTCATTTTGTAATCCTCAAAAATTACATGCTAATTATGATGATATTATTACGGGTGACTATTACTCCAGCCAAATTAGAAATTTAGAGATAGGACAGGATTATAATACTAATGTATTTAGCATAAAAGGTGCTCCATAAATATTTCTTGATTAACATGCAGTTAAGTACATTGTAAAATATAGTTACATAAAATATAATTATATAAAAAGGTATACTGTTTGGTCTTTTTTTTTTTCCTCTTGGTCTTTAGTTTTATTTTCTCCTTTCCAGTCCTCTTTTGTATTTCTGTACCATTCTTTTGTTCTTATTTCAGTTCTCTTCTTTTTTCCTATTGAAGGAAGCAAATGGAACTTGCTTATTTTTTCCTCTTTAGTACTGCTTTATATATTTGTTCTTGAGGTTCTTTCTCTTTTCTCACTTTTAATGGGAATTATTGAATTTTATTTGACTATGATCATGTAGTTATTAAGCCTCCTAAGTGTGTGATATGAATGTTAGTTTGGGATAAAGATTAGAAAAACTATTATTAAATATGGCTAAGTTGCCAAAATTTGGGGATATACTTTTTTTTGTTGTTTATGAGACGGAATAAAAGCAAGCATAGGGAATATAGTCAGTGATATTGTAATAGTGTTATGCAGTGACAGATGGTAGATACACTTGTGAGCATAGCATAAGTATAAATAAATTGGGTCACTATGTTGTATACCTGAAATTAATGTAATATTGTGTGTCAACTATATGCAAAAATTTTTAAAAAATACATGAAGAAAAAAATGGCAAAATGTTAACTCAAAAAATAAAATACCACGTTACTGATTACCACATTAACATTTGAGTATATTAGGTGGAAAAAAAGTGGGCCCTAGGGAGTTTAATTGAGATGACATTATATCTGAAAGATATCCATGTTGTGTTCCTTTTAAGAATGGACTTGCACGCTGGGCTAAACAAATAGAAAATGGCGTTTATTTGATTAATGGACAAGTTAAAGATGAAGATTGTGATCTATTAGAAGGACAGGTGAGTTGAGAGAAAATCATCTTACTTATGAAATTATTTGTGCTTAAGGAAAAATAAAAGATGACTTTTCTTTAGTTCTTGCCTTCCTGAAAACAGTTTCCATCTACTTCTTATTTCTAAGGTCTTTTTTTTTTTTATTTCTAAGGTCTTTTAAAGTAAAGGGCAAATAAATGTTTTTTTCAGAAAATGATTGGAGATTATTTCTGAATTAATTGGAATCCTGAAATCTGAAGAAGGGAGTGTCATCTAAATTCTATCTAATTTCCCAATTGTAAACTGCTTGCTTAAAACTAAAGGTACATGTTCTACTTTGATAGCAGTTTAAAAGACTGTTTGACCATTTTATAGAAGGGATCTATACAGGTTTCTAAAATAGCTTTGATCTATCTGAAGAGGAACTTTGGTAATCTCTCCCTTTAGTGCAAGGGTCAGTGAACTTTATGTAAAAACCAAATAGTAAATATTTTAGACTTGGTGGGCCACATGGTCTCTGGCAACTATTCAACAAGCAGCCACAGATAACATGTAAATGAATGATTTTGATTGCGTTCTGTAAAACTTTATTTACAAAGACTAGAAGTGGTCTGGATTTGACCTATAGCCATAGTTTGCCAATCCTTACTTTAGAGGAATAAAAGTAGGGAATTAATGGTTTTTAAGAGTATACACTGACTGATAGACAATACACAAAGTAACATATTTATAGAAAAAGCCAATATAAAACAAATAATAAGACTTTCTTTTCCTCTAAGTTACTTAATATATGTAAGATAGTTCCTAAATTGTCTTTTGTATTCCACTCCAGTCTCAGTAATCTGGTTTTTTAACTTCTGTGTTTTTTCAGAAAAAATCTTCTAGAGGCAATGTTCAAGCAACTAGTCATTCTTTTGATGTCAAAGTGCTAACACAGTTGGTAAATATTTTAAAATACTACTTATCTAAAATACTTTATTTTTTAGAATAATCATAATGAAATTGTTTTGGTTTTTATATTTATAATTAGAGAGTCAAAGAATTTTAGAGATGTGAAGTGTAAAAAATGTCTAGTTCTAGGAAATTTATTTCCAAGAAGCATTATGTTAATAAAACCTATTTTGGTCTTTTGCCTCAAGGCTATTAAGATTTTAGCATCAAGTAGAGAGCAATTTAAAAATATATATGTATTTTATATATATAACAAATATAAATAACAAATACATACATACATGTATGTGTGTGTGATATTTTGGGTTGTAGGTTTTATGAGCAAAGTTGTAGTTCTTAACAACTTAAAAAGATGTATGCACAGATGTGCCAAGAGTTGTCATATACTTAATTTTGAAGTATATTTATACCTCCTCTGATTTGGTAAAAATCACATATTATTAGCAACTTTTATATTTATATATAGTTGTTTTAAATTACACATCTCTTCAGAATTGGAAGTCGGGTATCTTGAAGAATAAAAAGTTAAAGCCACTAATTATTCCTAAAAGAACGCATGCAGAACAGGATATTTTTTATTGTATGTTTTGTACAAATACAAACATTGTATTTTTTTTTAACTAAGTAAAATAGACTTAAAAGTAATTTGCATAGGAGGACTTTTTAATTTCTTTTCTTCCTTCTCTGTGTTTGGCAATAGTATTTACTAAATTGTCATTGGACTTAATGGCACTCAACATGAGTTCTCAATTTCTCTTCTTAGTACCTTTGAGTTTAGATGTGTCCTTTATTTTATTTAAAGATTTTATTTTATTTATTTGACAGAGAGAGAGAGAGAGACAGCTAGAGAGGGAACACAAGCAGGGGGAGTGGGAGAGGGAGAAGCAGGCTTCCCGTGGAGCAGGGAGCCCGATGCGGGGCTCAATCCCAGGACCCTGGGATCATGACCTGAGCTGAAGGCAGACGCTTAACAACTGAGCCATCCAGGCACCCCTAGATGTGTCCTTTATTTTAAAGCTATTCCTGTATCTACATGTTTTTTACTAGATATGCTTACGTGACCTTTTGGTTTTTTTAAAAATTTACTTAAAATTATTTTAGTGATAAAATTGGAGTTGGTAGATGTGTAGACTACGGGAAAACAGAAAGGAGAGATAATATTATGAGAGATAATTTATTATAATATTTATTATTATACAGTATAATATCTTTTTATCAATCATTCCACTGGTCAGCCAGCTTGAAACTTTAAAATGACTAATATGTAATAAGTAGTCAATAAATACTTGATGTCACTTTCCTCCTACTTAACCTCCATCAAGTCTTGTTGATTTTTCCTTTGCAGTGTTAAGTTCATCTTCTATTTTCCTTACGGTCTTAACTGCCACTAGTCTTACAATGTTATTAATTTACCTATATTATTACATATAACTCTTAACTGGTCTCTGTTCATTCTTGTCCAGAGTGATTCTTTTTCTGAAAATCCTGATACCTTTATTTGTATGTCTCTTGGAGTATCTTCTGTATTTCCAGTCTATCCTACATATAAACCATCAGATTATCCTATCTGAGTCACAGTTTGCATTCATTCACTTGTTATTTACTTATTAGTGTTTTTTAGAAAGTATTTATTGAGTATGTATAAGGGTTAGGCACAGATTGTGTTAATCTCCTTGTTTAAAATTTCTTAGGTGCTCTACACTACTTAGAAAAGTCTAATTCAAGGCTCTTCATAGCCGCAGCGTGCCTATTCATTAATTTCATACTTACTATTTCAGAGGTTTGCTTTCTATGCCTTTAAAATCATATTTATTTTCTGAGCCATGTGTCTTGCCAGTACCATCTTTTCTCTGTCATTCAGACAGTCAGAATCCTGTCTGTACTTTAAGATCTACCCCAAATGCTACCACTTATGTAAAGTTTCTTTTGGTGATCATAACCAGAGGAATCTTTTCTTTTCCAAAATACTATATCATTGTCACAGAAATTTCTCCACTTATGACCAAGTTAGGTTCCCAGAGTCTCTTTGTAAGCTACTTTGTTCCTAAGTCCAAAGAAACCAAGAGGAGTTGACATTTGTAGAACACAGGTACATTTCTACCAGAAAGGAGTAAGTTAATCCTTACATCTTTTGAAAATTCTCCGTGTGTGTATGTAGTCTGTAATGTATAGTCTAGTCCTTTTTGGAAAATAGTGCCCTAATTAAGGGCGCTATTATATGTTGTATAATATTAGATAGTGTTTTATTATATTATGTTATGTTATATATTATTACAAGTGTGTTATATACTATAAAACATATGCTAGATATTAAATATATAAAATAGGGCATTATGTTCCAAAAGGGAATAGTTTCATCAATAGTAAAGTTCTGCATAGTGGATAAGGGAAGCCCAGTACTCTCCCTCCACCCTCACCTTATTGATATATAGATCTCTACGAGTATCATAGGAAGCTTATTCCAGATACAATATGAGCATTATCACCCTGCTGTTTGGTTTGATGAAAGACATTTTTTTAAACAGACTTGGAACCTTTTAAACTATTCAGTCTGTGACAAATTTCTTACCAATAAGAACTTGACTGTGTTTAAGTTTAAATTCTTAAAAAAAAAAACAACACAAAAAAAACAAACTAGCTTTGCTTGAATTACATTAGACATTGACTGTTCAGTAGCTATATATTAAGTCTTTCGTTTTCTTCACTATTTTTCTTCCTCAGTTCCTGATTATTCTTTTTGCAGAGGCACATATAACACTATTCATAAGTTGCATGATTTGTTTTTGTTCTTCAGAATTGACTCTATTTATTCTAGGTATACTTAGAATTTTTATTTTTACCATGTCTCATTTATGGGGTATCCTTTTTTAAAATCACAATTTTTGTTTCCATTGTGATTTATAGGCTTCCAGTAGTACTTTCACTGTTTTAATGCTCTCCTTGTTTGGGCATTTATTAAAATAATAAGGTTAAAAACATCTGTGAAACATCTTGAAACCAAGCATGAATTAACACTCCTTAGATTACGGAAGAATGAGCTTGTAAGCGGAAGTGACTGCTTACAGCCACTCATGTCATTTTCTGGTGACAACCGCAGTTGACTTGCCTTTTTGCTGCTGGGGAACATACAGCATTACTTTTAGTCTATGGAAGTTAAGTGTCAAAAGTGTATAAATAAGTGTCTTTACACTGCTTATCATTTTACCAAATTTATCACAACCTCTGTTATTCCAGTTATTTTTGTGCAAATCTTATATTGCATACCTTATATATCCTACTACACAGATGATGTACTAAATATATATATATGTCTTCTTTACACATCTTTTATCTTAACAGTATTTAACCGAGTAATCTGCAAATAATATATTTTTAGTGAATATGTTAAATAAAGAATGGTATTTTAGATGGTCATGTTAGTAAGAAAAAATTTAGATGTAGTTGTGTTTAACATCAGAGTACATTTAAAATACTCAGAAAATAATATATAACTTAGTAAGGAGGAATATGAAGGCCTTTTAATAATTTATGGGAAATATTTTCAAACACTTGGTTCAGTCAAAAATTCTATCTTGCTTCATGAAATGGCTTATATAATTTTTAAGTGTTTCATATAGTTAATTGCTGGCTATTAGAACTTAAAGAGATTTTGTCTTTCAGCTTCTGAATTCGGACCGCAGATCCACAGCCACAGTCCAGATCTGCAGTGGCTCTGTAAACCTTAAGGGTGCTGTGAAATGCAGAGCCTATATTCACAGCAATAAACCCAAGGTTAAAGATGCTGTGCAGGTACAAAAGGAATAACTGGTATATGAAAAACAGAAGCATGTTGATGTAACTATCCAAAAATCCTAAAATTTTTCTCAATCTCAGATTTCATAATTATGAATTTGATTTTAACTGATAATCAAGTCCCAATCTGTTGGCTAGTCCAAATATACCATGTAATTGGTCCCAAGATTTTCATATGTAGGATGTCTGTTTTAAAATGCCTTTTTTAAACTGATGATTATACAAATTTATTCAGTGCTCCACAGTTGTGATATATTAGTGCATTTGAAATCATTTCTTTGGAGGGAAATTAAACTTTTTAAATAACAAGAAAAGTATTCATTGGAAGTATTATTAGGTAATACTCTGTAATCCATAAAATTTCTATCCAGAAATTTTAAAAATGATGACTGGCACTTTTGTCATAGTTATACATTTCCTAATTTGGAACACTAGCATTATTTCTTTAGATGGAAAATTTCATTCATTTATTTGGTTTTAATTATTTAAATGAAGGTTAAGCAAATTTGCTATTAAACTGTAATGTGTTAATAAGCATGTTAAATAAATGGACATTAAAAAATGGAATGATGTACCAGTTATTTTAGTGGACATGATTATATAGGAAAGTCAATTATGTTGGGGGAGGGTGGTAATAAAATAGTACAAATCTAAAGTAATGGGTTTTATTTCTTATTGTAATTTGTTTTGTTTTTTCATAGGCAATGAAGAGAGATATATTGAATACAGTTGCAGATCGTTGTGAAATGCTATTTGAGGATCTTCTTTTGAATGAAATTCCAGAAAAAAAAGTTATGAGTATAAAATTACGAACATTTTTTGTGTGTGTTCAATTGATACAGTAATAGGATGTCAAAATGTAATAGATACATCATCTTTTGTAACTACCCAGATCTATCTTTTATAACAATATGGCATCTTTTACTTTTCTTAGTGAATGACAGTTTTTCAGTTGCCACCCAAAAAAAAGATGTTTAGAACACCTTATAATAACAAATCTGTCAACTTTTAACAGTCTCAGGGAGGATTTTTAAAAAAAATTCTGCATGAATTTCTGCCAGAATGGATAAACTATTAACTTTTTAATTTAATTTTATTTTATTTTTAAGATTTTATTTATTTGAGAGAGAGAGAGCACAAGCGGGGAAGCAGCAGAGGGAGAAAAGCAGGCTCCCCACTGAGCATGGAGCCTGACATGGGGCTTGATCTCAGGACCTTGAGATCATGACCTGAGCTGAAGGCAGCCACTTAACAAACTGAGCCACCCAGGTGCCCTTTTGTTAACATTTTAAAGCTAATGTTTTTTAATTAAATCTGAGATTTTAAAAAAATATTATTCAAAATAAAAATATTTATTAGTGTTAAGTATTATATAATAAAATTTTAATAGGTATTAATTTATGGTATATATGCAATTGATCTGTTAATACCAAATTTTTTTGAATACCAATTTATATACTCATTATTACTCTAACACTTTATCAGATTTTAAAAAGCCTGGGTCATGTGTGTCTTAACCTTTTATATTACTCCGTTTTGAAAATTATAAACTATACCATTTCCATAATTTGTATTAATAATAATATTTTTACTCCAAAAGAAAATTATAATACTGAGTATGCTTTTTGAAGTTACACATTTTTCTCTACCTTCCTACCATTCAGGTGCGATTGCACTTGCAATTCACAGTTGAGTATGTACATAATTGAAACATATACATTAGCTAGTTAAGGGAATATTTTTATGTTAATAGGAAAAACTCTATGTAGCTATGTAATACACTTCTTGTAGTACTATTGATAGGTAGTATATTAGGTTTGGTGGACTAGTCATAATTTTTATATTCCTAATATGATAGATTAGCGGAATTGCCAGATTTAACATTTGTCCTTCCTATACTCACAAATAACCCTGAAGCTCCATTTACTGATGGAGTATAGTTTTTCTGAGACATGAATTTGAATCTTACATGCAACAATTGGATTGAGATTTTTGTTTTGGAAAGTATGTAAAACCTGATCAGTCAGTCACCCGGTCAGCCTATCAGTCTCGTGTTAGGGTGGCCTTGTTTTTACTACTTTGTGTATGTGATAACTCTCGTGGTGCTAAACATTACTTCACTTTTTGAGCAACAGTACGTGCTACAACTGAACTGTGAATTTTAGGATTTTCAGGGACAGGGGGATGCATTCACCATTAGTGCCCAAATCTACCCTATTATACACATTGGTTCAATACTCTATTCCATTTAACAGTGCTTTGTAAACTGGTATTATATGACTGTCTTGGTATTGCTTTATATTGAGTGAGCTAGTATTTTTAAATTTTTGCTGATGTTCAAGCAGTACAATTACTTCCCACAGCAGTTGTGATATTTATACATTAAATTTGATGTATTAGAAGTTAACGTTTTCTAATGTTACCTCTTCCTAAATTTTTTAAAAATAAAAGTTTTCACTGGTAGTTGAGTGGCCTTTGAGGCCTGTGTGAAGAGAATGGTCACTGTAGTTTGTTGGAAAAAAAGCAGTGACTAACATATTTGGTTGGGTTCTGTGTCTACTCTACCATTAGCTGAGTCACTTTGGACCAATGATTTAGTCTATCCAAGCATCCATTGTCTTATCTAGAAAACAGGGATTATAGTAGATAATCTTTGAGGTTGTGAGATTAAAAAAGATGATGTTTGTAAAGCCCCTAATACAAATAGGTAAACTATATGTTCAGTAAGTGGTAGTTACTATTATATTGGAGATGATAAAGAGAATTACTTGATAATTGTCTTTAAAATTTCCTAACTTTAATTTTTGGGAAGTGTATCATTGTATTTTGAAAAGAAAGCAAGTATAAATATATATATTTTTAAACTTTAGTAACAGAATTATTTCAGCAACATCTTAGTTGATCTTAAGATACCACAATAAAAGAATAAATTGCAAGTGTAATAATACAAACAAAAGTAAAATTTGAAGTTGAACATATATACACCAAATTGTTAGATTTTAGATTTAGTCTTCATTTTACTTAGCTTATCTTTCTTCTATACTGGTAAGATTTTATGTATTTGTAATTTGGTAAAATGTAGAATGTATGCCATGAAATTAACCTGAACTAGAGGGTTTTTTTGCATGCTTAAGGAAGTCTGCAAAGGGCATATTAACTTTACATTCCTAATCTTTAAAATAAACATAGTCTCTGAATTCTGGCTATCCAGATGAAAGAACTGGATGTAGTTGAATGACAATAAAAAATATAAGTCCAGTCATTCCTTTAACTTATTATGGTCTTCCCCTTCTCAGATTCCCCTTAAGAATTCCGGAGCTTCTCTCAGCCTACATTCAGTCTTGCCCAACTTACTCTCAGCAGGTGACCTACTCACTGTGAAAATTGAAGACTCTTACCTTCTTCCATTCCTATATTCATATCCATCCATATCACTTGTCCTCTGAGAACATATTTGTATTCCTCTTTGCCTTTGGTCGTGGTTTTGCTCTTTAGATGGCACTTCTCTTTGCTTCATACAAATGTCTACTTATCCTTCAAGAATCAACTCAGATCTCAACTATTGTACACAAGTTTCTATAATACTCCAGTATGAGTTAGGATTCTGTTCTTAACCAGTAAAAAACCAATTCTTATATTGCCTTGAATTTTTTTCTGTTTTGAACTTACTTCAAATAATGTTTAACTAGATGCTCTGCTGTGGGAATATTCCTAAAGGATTCTTAGAATACTTTGTGAGAAGTGTTTTTTTAAAAGATCCTCCCTTTTTTAACCTCAGACCAACCAGAAAAAAACTTGGTTTTATTTAGATACTAAATGGCTAATTTAACTTTTTTTTTTTTAAAGATTTTTATTTATTTATTTAACAGAGATAGCACAAGTAGGCAGAGCAGCAGACAGAGGGAGAGGGAGAAGCAGGCTCTCCGCTGAGCAATGAGCCCGATATGGGGCTCGATCCCAGAACCTTGGGATCATGACCAGAACCGAAGGCAGCCGCTTAACCGACTGAGCCACCCAGGCGCCCCTAATTTAACTTTTTAATTTGAAAATTATAAGTTCTTTTTTTAAATGAGTAATTTAAAATGATCGCAACTACTGCTTTCACGTTTGATTTTATACCAAAGAAATTTATTTCTTTTTCAGGAAAACTAGAATTAATGCAGCTTGAATTAGTTTTAAAATTTTTCATGCCAATTACACATATATATTGTAGCCATCTTTGAAAGTTTTGAACTTAACCTGTTTTAAGAAACTATAGCCCTGGGGCGGCGCCTGGGTGGCTCAGTTGGTTAAGCGACTGCCTTCGGCTCAGGTCATGATCCTGGAGTCCCGGGATTGAGTCCCGCATCAGGCTCCCTGCTCGGCAGGGAGTCTGCTTCTCCCTCTGACCCTCCTCCCTCTCATGCTCTCTGTCCCTCATTCTCTGTCTCAAATAAATAAATAAAATCTTTAAAAGAAAGAAAGAAAAAGAAACTGTAGCCCAAAATAAAATAGTACATCCCTAATTTCAATGTGTGGGCAACATACATGCTACAGTAAAAATTGCAGTAATATAATTTTACCGCTAGGAGGCAGCCTGGTCAAAGAGTAAAATTCTCCAAGTTCTCATATGACAACAAGATAAGCTGAATCTGCAGGAACACTAATTTAAGTCATAGCATTTTCTGTGACACTTAAGGCATTCTTTGTCATCTTTTGTTTGTAAAGCTAAAGCTACCACTAGTTTCTTGATAAGGAAATGTAGATTGCTTTTAAAGTGAGCCCTAGTTTTCTACTTGATCTGTACATTGGCTGCTTAATCATAACCATTGCTGAAAGAGGTGATTCTTTACACAAAATCTCTATCTTTGTTAATAGTTCAATAGAATGATGGTGTTGAACCAAACAATAATTATGTGTTCATGTAGAACAGTGACAATGTTAGAAATTGGGGGGAATGTTGTATTTTACTTTGTGAGTATTCAAAGAATGAAACATTTATTATTTAGATCCAGATTATTTTTTCTAAAGATAATTTAAAGCTGTTTGCAAAAAGGTATTACAATTTAACAAGATAAAAATTATTAGTGATAAGAATGAGGCAAGAGGAAAATGAAAAAGAAAGCAGGATGGAGTTGGTAGTAAGATGAGTATACAAAGCATGTATCTTGATGTCCTGGTAAGATGAAGTCAGTGGTAAGATTAGTGCAAAATGAATGCTATTCAATTTTCCTATACATTTGATGTAGGTAGGCCACTAATTTGACTCCAAACTTGCATGAAGAAGAGAAATATTTATAAAATGCGGTGCTTGTATGGTTAAACAAGAAAAACAACAATTTCTGAGACCAGGGACAAAATTCTCTTGGGTATTCCTTCATAGGACAGTGGATAATACAAGAATATATAACTTAAAAAAAAAGAAAGAAAGAATGTATAACTAACAATACCTTCACATTTGAAGGCAGTGGTTAAGTTTACATTTCATAGGAGTATCATTTAGTCCCTTGCAGAGGCCAGAGTATTGAGGTAAAGCAGAATTCAGTAAGAGCAATTCTGTGTCCAATCAATTAAGACATGAAAAGGCCTTTTAGGTTTTATTTTTATTAGTGTATATTTCATATACAAATATATCACTGATGCTAGTGACAGACCTATCTAAATATTGATAATGTTCTATCTCCTTTTAGATTCTGAAAAAGAGTTTCATATCCTCCCTCACCGAGTTTTCGTCCCCATTCCGGGATCCACTGTAATGTTATGTGATTATAAATTTGGTGATGAGTCAGCTGAAGAAATGAGAGACCATTTTATAGAGATGTTAGATCATATGATTCAAATAGAAGATTTGGAAATTGCAGAGGAAATAAACACAGGTAATTACATGATGTTACTTAAGAACCTGATTAGACTTTTGCTGAGATGACCTATAAGGCATCTGGTTTAAGGACGTCTTTAGATTTCTTTAACACTAGTTCAGTTTGATATTTTTGAGGCATTTAAAAATGTGTCTGTTTAATTTCTACAGATAGAAACATGCAGTCAGTGTTTTCCTGGAAAATTCTACCAAAATTTAAGTTACTTAAGGTTTTTCTAAGCCTAGCAAGTAGATGTTCATAAGACAAGTTCAGCTTTAAATAGGTGGAAATACATAGCTTTTAGGTGTTTCTTTTATTATAAGAAAAGTTTTCTTAAAATTCACTATCTTAATTGTTTGGTTAAGCATTTTTAAACAGTTTATTAAACATCTTTTCGATACTAGTGGGCTTTATTTTCTTACACCTTCACGTAATTGGGATACTAAGGTTAAATGGGCAGTTCCAAACATTAGATCAGGATTATTTTTATAGAGCATAGATTTGCCATACTATCTAATTATGTAACAGTTTCTCCTCCTAAATGTCACGTTCACATTTGACCTTACATTCTTTTTTTTGTTGTTTTTTGTTTTTTTTTTTAATATTGCACAGTTTATTCTTGTCCCAGTTTTTATCACAAAATACTGATTCCATCAAAATTTATTTTTATTGATATTAGGGCCAACTTGCAAAACACTTGAAGCACAGATGTTGTTTCAAGGCGCCATTTTGTGATCCGACTTCCCTTTTCCACTTCTTGAATTAATCTCCTTTGTGGGTCTCTGGCTGTTGAGTTTAGGTGGGTAACGTTCAGTCACAATGGAAGTAAGGTGAGGAACTGTTACCCTTGTGGTCTTTGATAACTACACTTGAGTCATTTTTTTTTTTTAATTCTTAATCGTGACTTCTTAAAAAATTTTATTTCATTATTTTATGTTAATCACCATACATCACATCATTGTTTTTTGATGTAGTGTTCCATGACTCATTGTTTGCGTATAACACCCAGTGCTCCATGCAGAACATGCCCTCCTCAATACCCATCACTGGGCTAACCCATCCCCCTCCCCTCTAAAACCCTCAGTTTCTCAGAGTCCATAGTCTCTCATGGTTTGTCTACCCCTCCGATTTCCCCCCCTTCATTTTTCCCTTCCTACTATCTTCTTTTTTTTTTAACATATTTATTTAGAAGGCTGTTTTTGTTTTGTTTTGCTTTGCTTTGCTTTTGTTTGTGTAGTGAAAGATATGAAAATATATCTATAAATAAGTGTGTAAGTTTATGACAGGCTTCCTGAAACATTTAAAAATATGTGATAAAAGGGCGCCTGGGTGGCTCAGTTGGTTAAGCGATTGCCTTCGGCTCAGGTCATGGTCCTGGAGTCCCGGGATCGAGTCCCGCATCGGGCTCCCTGCTCGGCAGGGAGTCTGCTTCTCCCTCTGACCCTCCTCCCTCTCGTGCTCTCTGTATCTCATTCTCTCTGTCTCAAATAAATAAATAAAATCTTTAAAAATAAATAAATAAATAAATAAAATAAAAATATGTGATAAAAGTAATTATTTGCAAATATCAGTAAATATTGAGTATGTAGCTATTTATCGAACTTCAGATTTCTGATATAATAGTAGAAAGTCTTTAGGCTGCTTTTGAATGTGGATGTTTATGAAATTTGAATATAACAATTTTTAAGTCTTTTTTCTAATTCTAACTTCTTAATTATTTTTCTGTGACTTAACTAATTCCTGCCCCCACCAATAAGAGTATTTGATTCAGAGTACTCTTGTTACAGTGATGAGTCAAGTAAGTATTTCACTGGTGAATATCAAATCTGTCAGTAAAGTCTTAGATTAGTTGGAGACCAGTGAGTTTGTTGTTTTGTTTTCCTTTTTTTTTCTCAAGAACTCCAGGTTAGTATTAATTATGATGTGGAACAGTAAGCTTATTTTAAAGAAAAAAAATACTTCAAATTGCTCAGTATCTGATGTTAAAAGAGCATCTGTGTTTTAATCCTTTGAAAACTATCATTTTTTAAGGGATAGCTATAGTATATTCCCTAACTTATGGGTACTTTGAAAGTAAACTGGTAAACATGTTTGCTGCTTTCTGAAATATGTTTTCCCAGATTAGTGGCTGCACTCTCTCTGCCAACCAGATTTAGAGTCATCAGGGTAGGGATTTTTGATTGTTCACTTTTGTCTCTATTGCCTGACAATAGTTCTTGACCCATTCTGTTGTTGATAATCTGAATGAATTTTACTTGGGATCACTAGAGTTGACCTAGTTCATCCTCTTTCTTTTAACATTGAAATTTATATTCCTAGGAGATGGGGATTTAGACTGTATTCTTCCTTATTCCAAATACCAGTCTGTCTTCCTATAACTAACACCTTATTCAGTAATCTGGAGCAGTAAAACATGAGTACTTTTTTACTGAGGCCATGCTTTTAAATTTGAGGTCAACTATCATGCTCTTAAGTATGTTGAAGCCAAATATTTGCACAGTCCTTTAACTGGTCTCTTTATTATAGTTTCCAGATCTCATTCTTTCTTACCACCTTGTTTGTCTTTTTATAGATTAGGAATTTTTAACCTGTGGTACCCATAACCTCTGGGGTCATAGCTGGCTTTCAGGAGATCCACAAACCACTTAAAAGTAATTGTATAATTTTTTTCTGGAAAAAGATTTATTAAAGGGTTGGTGACCTAAGAAAGATTAAAAACTACTTCTTTAAATATACTTTGGTTTGCCTTTCTTTAAATAAATTGCCCTGTATTCAACCTAATATTCTAATAATATTATTAGCTATTATTTATATAGAACCTACTATGTATAGGCAGTTTTAAGAGCCTTACAAATACTAAATCATTTAATTCTTTTTTTTTTAATTTTTTTTTAAAGATTTTATTTATTTATTTGAGAGAGAGAGAATGAGAGAGAGAGAACACATGAGAGGGGATAGGGTCAGAGGACGAAGCAGACCCCCTGCTGAGCAGGGAGCCCGATGCGGGACTCGATCCCGGGACTCCAGGATCATGACCTGAGCCGAAGGCAGTCGCTTAACCAACTGAGCCACCCAGGCGCCCTAAATCATTTAATTCTTACAATAGCCCTATGATGTAGATACTATTCTTAGTCCCATTTTCCAGATGAGAGAATTGAAGCTCAGAAAAGTCAAATAATTTTTCCAGGGTTACACAGCTAGTAAATGGTGGAGCTAGAATTTAAACTTAAGCAATTTGGTTCTAGAGTCTGCTTTTTCTAACAATTCCTTTCCATGGGACCTAACCAATACAGACTATAGAACTACTACTTTCCATGGTCTAGATATTTATTTTAGCATGGCCATCTTCATTGCATCATTCAAAAATTTTTTTGACTTAAGTGAATGATGTTGCATTATTCTGGTTTAATTTCATCTTCTGTCTGTATAATTTCTCACTTGTTGGCTAGAATCTTGGATCTGTTATTATAGTAGATGGTTTTCATATTCTTTTTGAATTACTTGTCACACTTATAGTGTGTATTACATTCATGAAAGATTAAAGGGTAACATTGTATGCAAAATTTGACCCAATCACAACTTACTTTATTATTTTTTTATTTTTTGACTAATTATTTTTACAACTTACTTTAAAAATCATATATAAAAGCTTAGGGAGAGAGATTTCATTTAGATTATTTTTTTAAAGATTTTATTTATTTATCTGAGAGAAAGAGACAAATAGTGACAGAGATAGCGAGAGAGAGCAGGAGTGGGGAGGAGAAGCAGGCTCCCCGCTGAGCAGGGAGCTCAGTGCAGGGCTCTATCTCAGGACCCTGTGACCATTACCTGAGCTGAAGGCAGACGCTTAACTGCCTGAGCCACTCAGACGCCCGGACTGTAAGATTTTTGAGAGTAAGTACCTAGAATGTTTCTCTCTGTACTCAGCTCTATGCCTCAAACATGATAACTATTCTTAAATATTTGTTAATAATTGACTGATATATACTAAATAGGCCATTTTTTGGAAATTATTGCACATCTTTTTTTCACTTATTTTATGCTTGAAAAATTGTAAAGTTTACATCTAGCCAGATACAAGGTTTTTAAGGCTTGTGTAGGGCACTACAACTGAACATGTACATTTAAAAAGGGTATGATAGTCATAGCTCTATGGTGATATAATTCAGAACATTTTAAGGGATATAGAACATTTAAAACATATGACATTATGCAGCACTAGACATTTTAATTCTAGTTTACAGCATTTAGTATGTCTATTTATCAGATATTTATTAAGCATTTGCTCTGTTCAAGGCAATGTGATAGATAAAAAATCAAAGATGAGATTCCTTTCCTTAAAAAGCCTGATTTGGAAGATATAATATGTATGTACTGTTAATTATGCAGAACATGTAGTAAGGTCATAAGAGTAAGAACTTACCATTAATGATTAAAATTTTAGAGTTTCCAGTGATTTTGTTAATTATTCAATGAGAAGAAAATATTTTGACTGTAGGTTAGCGATAACAATCTACAGTAACCAAGTTTTGACATTAGTTTTTTCGATTTTAGTAAACTGTTTCCATTTTTTCATTGTTTATTATTACTGCTTTATGTTTCACTTTAATTGAAAGCACACATCTATTGTATAAATTGATGCTCTGTAGTATTCTGTGGATAATCCCAAATATATTAAAAGCTCCCTAGTTTTGAATGATTCTTAGAATTCTTTGAAATATCCTTGCAAATAATTAAAAGACTTATTTATATCATCAAGATAATATACTTCTTAGCTATTATTATCAAATTTAAATGCTATTCTCTAATGAATTGTTTTTATCGTTTATATGTATACTAAATATATTTTAATCCTGTTTTTCAGCTTTCCTTCAGTTAAGCTTTATCATTAACACTGTACCATGTTAAATATTAGTATGAGCTAGTAATTGAAGTATTTAAAAATCCACTTTTTAATCTTAGATGATATATAAATGTTCATTAGTCTTTTCTTGTGGATTTTGATTTTTTATAAGCTTTTAATATTGGTACTTAGTTGTATATTTCACACTGTATTTTAAAATTATTTTCTGTCTATATTTTTTTATGCTGGTAATCTATTATAGAGATAGATAAACTGAATAGGAAGAGTTTAATATTGCACAAAGGAAACAAAACAGCAATTTGTGGAAAGTTTAGGTGTATATACTTGAATGTATGCTGTATCAAACTCATGATCTCTAGATTGTATATTTTTCTAATATTATATAATGTATTGAAGATACTGCTTCATTATGTTAAATATGATTCTTTAAGGACTCTTTCCTGTTTTTGAAACTTATATAAATCCTAACTGAGTGATTGATTGACTACTCTATTTTAAGCGTTAGGGTTCTAGAGATCAAATATACAGTTCTGACTCTGAAGAAGTTCACAGTCTAGAGGGAAATACAGAGAAATGGGTTACTCTAAATAAAGTGATTAGTTCTATAATAGAAGGATGAACAGAATTATCAGAACATTTAGCACAGGGATTATCCTTTTATGGGGTTAGAGAAAGCTTCTGAAAGCAAGTGACATTTGAGTTCATTTTGAAGGATGAATGTAATAAAAGTAACTCTAGGCTTTTCAGGAATTGAACACTGGCATCAGATGTATTGTGACCAAGAATATGACTTGTCTAGAATTATATTAGTTTTGCTTTTTCAAATATCTGTTGAATTAGAAGAAATGATTTGGTAATTAGCATATTTTTAATAGCAAAATAACATATTCCCAAATTATAGGATAGGGTAAAAACATAAACATTTTAATGGAAAAATTAAGTGATTTTTCATGACATCCTATTCGTTTAGAATTATATTCACTTACTCATTCACTCCCTTACTCATTCATTAATTACTCAAAAATAAATTTTATTAATAATAAAAATAATGGATTATTAATATTAATTTTTCATTAATTTACTAAAAATATTAGATGCATAATTTTATGAAGATAATATTTTAACTGAGTCCAGGTATGCCACTTACATCTGTGTAACTTTAAATAATCCCCCTCCAAATCCCAGATTCTCTTGGTGTTAAGAGAATTTAGTACAAACATTAGGGAAAATACTTTCTAAACAAAAGGAGATACATAACTGTAAGGTGATATTAACTAGTATTATTATAATACGTTTAAATAATGAACTTTCTGAATTATAATAAAGAATATTAACATTAAAGTATAAAAGTAATATTTTATAGTATGTATAAATTTTCCTATATACTTGAAATTAGGGTTTTCGTATATAATAAACCATAAAAGGTGGAGTTCAAATGTTAAAGTTCAAAAATTGAGGGGCGCCTGGGTGGCTCAGTCGTTAAGTGTCTGCCTTCAGCTCAGGTCATGATCCCAAGGTCCTGGGATTAAGCCCCACATCGGGCTCCATGCTCAGTGGGAAGCCTGCTTCTCCCTCTCCCACTCCCCCTGCTTGTGTTCCCTCTCTCGCTGTCTCGCTCTCTGTCAAATAAATAAGATATTTTAAAAAAAATGAAAATTACTATACATTTAAGGGTGTTAAACTTGTTATAACAATCCGGCTTTATTTTCTAAGTATTTGATGTTATTATTTGCTGATTATTATTTAATTATTTTTATTGTATAATATACTTGCCAAGTAGTTCCTATGTTTGAAATACATATTTTGCCAGGTAAATACCTTAAAATAACATACTTTTAAATGACTTAAGGGATGAAGAACAATTTGTTTGTCAAAATGACTCACTTAAGGTGAGGGATAACTATGGCTTTAAAATTTCTTAGGTGCATTAGTCATCTCCTACTAGATATTAAGTTAGTAATTCAGATGCACTTTATCTACAGTATCAGCTAAAAATTTGAAGACACACCTTTAAAATCGGGTGAAACTCATCTTTGCCAATTCTGTCTTTATATCAGAACTAATTAATTTTTGTTGTTTGGTTAAACATTGATAATTTAATTATAAAGGAAAGAGAAGTAATAATGAACATGTATTTTTATGACTAAATCACTGAGTATAGTGAAACCTCATTACTTCAGTATTCAGGGATTGGAAGAAGACAACTAAGGAGTTTAAGTTTTAACATTTTATTTTAAGCATCTAAATAGTCCTGCCTAACTATCAACAGCTTGGAATGAAATTGAACACATTTACAACTTAGCATGCATTCATTATTGCCCTTGTTTTCTCTTTTGTTGACAGTTGCTCAAAAAGGTTACTTTCTTACATGATTAATTTGGAGCTTGTCTGAAGTTAAAATTACCTGATTTTAAGGAATGCTTAAGATCTAATTTCCTATCGAATCATATGTTATTTGCATTTAAATTTCAGATAGTAGTAAAATGACAAAGTGTCTGAGATTTGAATTAAAATCCCAGAAGCTCCCACCAAAAACAAACATAAATAAATTGTTATGACAACGTGTTACTCATCCTTGAAAAATACTCTGCTTCAGTAAAATTATCTCAGATTTGTATCAAATCAGTATGATTTTGTATGACAGATTAAAAATGAAAATAGAGCAATGAAATATTTTTTATAGAAGTAAATTAATTACTTGTGCAGAAAATTTGACATACTAGAGCATGACTTGCATATAACAATTCAATATTAAATGTATAAGTAATATATCATGAAAAACCATTTTTGTGCTCTTTATTTTTTTATTAACATATAATGTATTATTTGTTAATTTTTGTGCTCTTTAAATACAAGTACTCAAGTAAAAAAAATCCGTAGCAAATAAGTGTAATTCATGCTTCATCCATTATTTTTATTTGTATTTGTTATCTGAAATAAGGATTTTAGTGGCCCACCAAAAGAAGTTTTTTGGTACTGATATTTACTAATAGAAAAACCAAAATTGTATGTGTGTTAACATGAATAAAACTGTACTATTCATTCAACTTTTTGATCTATAGATGAAGTTAGGGGAAAAATGAAGCTGGTAGGCTAATGTAATCTAGAACTAAGGTGTTATAATCCTTGAGAAAACTAGAAACTGGAAATATAGAAGACTGAATTTTTTTTGATAATATGTTCCTTATAATGTTCTTCTTTAAAACTCATTTTAAAATGGGAATTATTCCCATTTTATTTAGGATTGATTGTTATTATCCTCTTGCAGCTTGTATGAGTTACTCTATGAATACTGAAGCTTCATTGGACAACACAGATGATGAACAACCAAAGCAACCAATTAAAGCTACAGTAATATTGAAAATTCAGCAAAACATAGGTATATAATTTCTTTTATAACATTGAAAAGATGGTATTTTGGATTTGAGTTTTCTCATTATTTTAAAATTGTTTCCATTACATTTTGCTTTCTTAGAGGTGCTAGATTAAGCCTGTATTTATTATTATGGAAAGTGCTAGTCCCTGGAGATGGAAGAGATGGAAAGATTTATAAATACTGCATTATTGCAATTGCTCTCAAACATGACACTTTCTATTAATTTTTTTTGGCGTGTTTGTTTGTTTTTAGAGGGGGTGAGAGGGGCAGACAGAGAGAGAGAATCTTAAGCAGGCTCCACACCGGTGCAGAGCCTGATGTGGGGCTCGATCTCACAACCCTGAGATTATGACCTCAGCTGAAATCAAGGGTTGGATGCTTAATGACTTAACCACCCAGGCACCCCACTTTTTGTGTTTTTACAAGAAAAACTTGTTGAGTTTCGGGAATCAGTTACTATAGTTGGGCCAATGCTTTTCAGACTGGTGTTCTTTGAAAAACTGCTATTGTAGGAGATTTTGATACGTGTTCTATGAAAAAAGTCAAATTCAAGTCTGGAAATTTGTAATGAACTTCAGAATTTAATTTAATTTTTTTTATTTATTTATTTTTTAAAATTTTATTTATTTATTTATTTGACAGAGAGAGACACAGCGAGAGAGGGAACACAAGCAGGGGGAGTGGGAGAGCGAGAAGCAGGCTTCCTGCAGAGCAGGGAGCTGATGCAGGGCTCGATCCCAGGACCCTGGGATCATGACCTGAGCCGAAGGCAGACACTTAATGACTGAGCCACCCAGGCGCCCCGAACTTCAGAATTTTAAAGGCTCCAAGAAGCGTGGCAATCACTTCAACATTGTTCAGACATATTGATTAAAGAACATGTAGACTGTTGTTAAGTGGAATGCCAATTTGAAAAATGCTTTATAAGCATTAAGACTTTTGACTGTTAGAAGCCAGAAGATTTTTCTTGGCACTTACTCATTAGATAATTACCTAAATTCTTTGTACCGAAGTGTGTGTGTATGTGTATGTCTGTCTGGACTGCTCTGGTCGGTTTTGTTTTGGTTAACTTACAGTTACCAGGAAAAAATAAGTAAAACTAAAAGTTGCCAACACAAACTTACTAATTCTTAGATTTTATAATGGTAGAATCTTGAGTTTTTTAGTTTGAATAGTTACACAGATGACTTTGCCTTGTCATGTTTGAGACCCACTGCCCATTGGAGCTGTCTTTTGGTTTAAGCTAGGTACCATAAAATGGCTGGAATGTCAGTGTGCATATTTATAGAAACTTTTTTAAAGTATATGTGAGTTTTTCTCTCAAATGTGTGTGAGTGCACATGTGTGTAAGAGAGATACTTTTTTTTTTCTTTTTTGAAGGTTTTGCTAAGTGGGGAAGTACATGATTACCAGTCCAGCCTTTGCCATCTATTCAACGTATTGCTGTGTTTTCCTCCTAAGACTTGGCTGGCTTTTAATACATATACATGTGTGTATAAGCATATATGTTTGTGCAGGTGCATCTTGTTGTTTAGGCCCATCGTTGCCTACATTTCAGAGCCTAGGACCAGTTAAGCCTTTCTTTCACTCATTCCATTTCCATTTGTTTTGTGTTTGTTTTACTTGTAGGTGTGATTGCAGCATTTGCGGTTGCAGTCCTTGCTGCGGGTATCTCCTTTCATTACTTCAGTGATTAGGGTGAGACACAGCTTCCTGATCTTCCAGAGAACACTGAGCAACCAACCATTATGAATAAAAGACGCAAACAGTCCATCTGCATTTAAGACCAGAGCAGCCACCTCTGCTGCCACTATGCCTATTATGTTTCTGACTAAAATGAAATCACCAGCTGCCTTGTTTAGCCCTGCTTATGTTATAGATGGCTCAGGCTTCCAAAAATAAAGTTGTATATGTAGATGGAAGTTGCATGTAACAAATCCTTATTATCTATTTTTAAAAATGTTCAAAGTGATGGTTTATTTTCATAGATTTTAGTCCTTTTGATCTGTATCACATATTGATCACGATATTGAAAATTTGAATAATCAGAGTTGACTGAATTTCTTAGTAATAGAATAACTGGAGAAATTTCTACAAAGTGGGGCAACAATCTGTTGGGTAAGTTCATACTCTAGGACCTTTTTTTTTTTTTTTTGATGGCACAATAAGAAGTTTTATTCTATTGATAGAAAAAAAAACCCTGCAATTAATAGTTGTACCACAGCAATTAATAGCATGTAAAAAGAAATGTCTCTTTTAAAACATTAGAGGAAAAATGCTCTGCATTTTTTTATTTTATTATTTTATGTTAATCACAATATATTACATCATTAGTTTTTGATGTAATGTTCTATGATTCATTGTTTGCGTATACCCAGTGCTCCATTCAATATGTGCCCTCTTTAATACCCATCACTAGGCTAACCCATCCCCCACCCCCCTCCCCTCTAGAACCCTCAGTTTGTTTCTCAGAGTCCATAGTCTCTCATGGTTCATCTCCCCATACGACTTCCCCCCCTTCATTTTTCCCTTCCTACTATCTTTTTTTTTTTTAACATATAATGTATTATTTGTTTCAGAGGTACAGGTCTGTGACTCATCAGTCTTACACAATTCACAGTGCTCACCATAGCACATACCCTCCCCAGTGTCTATCACCCAGCCACCCCATTCCTCCCACCCCTCACCACTCCAGCAACCCTCAGTTTGTTTCCTGAGACTAGGACCGTTCCAATGTATACTCAGTTCCCAAAATACTGACCAAGTTCTGGTCAAGGGGTAGGAAACCTTTCCAGAAAGGTTTGAATTATTAAGGATTGCATAAATCATGTGCTTTCTCAGGTTAGTATATCATACCTGCTTTAATATATTAGGTAAGACTTTTACTTCTAACAGTACGTTAGACAAGGTACTGCTAAACAACTAAATCCTGAATAAAATCTATTTTTGAATGCATTAATCAGCTCAAAGAAAGTAGGGGAAGTTTCTGTGAATCATACCTCTATTTTTACTTGCCCACAGATGAACACATTTTGAGTTGGGAATTGCGAATACTGTATTAAGCATGCAAGTGGGCAGTGGTTACACAGATAGCAAATACCAACTGCAACATAGCCATATGCAGTTTGCCTTGGACTAGAAACAAGATGAATCTGAATCTGAGATGTTGTCCTAGCCAGGACAGTTGAAGTGGCTACTTAGTTTGTGGTATCCTGTAACTCCTGGCAGAAGCAAGATACAGGCTCAAGATTTCCATAGATTAAGATAAAAAAATATGACTAGAGATTACCAGGTGCAAATTGAAACTAGCTAGCATGAGAAAAAACCTATAGGAATAATAAACTTTGGATTCAATTCTCCATGGTCTTATCACTGACATCTATTAAAGATGGAACCGCAGGTAGATCTAAAAAAGAAAACAATGCTAAAAATGAAAAATATGTTACTTGAAATTAAAAAAAAACCCCTCAGACATGATGAATATCATATTAGACTCAACTGAAGAGACAATAAACTGGAAGTGAGATCTAAAGGAATTACCCAGTGCACAGTGAAAAGAAACAAGGAGTTAGAAAATACAAATATTAAAGAGAAGAATAGCGATATGAAGGGAAGATGGTTACAAAGACTAGAAGTATTAGGAGGGAAGAATAGAGAGGATGGAGGAGTACAATATTTGAAGATAACTATTTTCTTTTTTTTTTTTTTTGGAAAAACATGAATTCATAATTTGAGGAAGCACAATATATCCCAAGCATACATGGATCAAATCCATGCCTAAACCCAAAGTAGTGTAACTACAAGATACCAAACACAAGATTTTAAAAGCATTCAAAAGAACAAAAAGATCATCAGTGAAGGCAACATACATACTAACATACTTAGTAGGCTTCTCAATAGCAACAATGTACCCAAAAGATGGTGGAATAATGCCTTCAAAATTTTGAGAAAAACTATTATCAACTTAGACTTTGTGCCAAGCAAAACTGAAATGTTCAGATGAAAAACAGATTTTTACCATCAACGGAACTTCAATAAAGAAACTGCAAAAGGTTGATCTTCAGAAGGAAAATGTTTCCACAAGGATGATCTGAAATCGAAGATCTGGTGAACAAATATAATGATAAACATGTAAATCAAAAGTGTTGCTAGTATAAAACAGTCGTAATTGAAGAAGTGTTTATAAGAAGTACAATTGTAAACAATTGTAAAACTAAACATTCTGTGCAACATGAATGTGGACTTCTAAAATAGGATATAATTAAAAAACTGGATAATAGCATTTAAGATGGGAGGAGGGTGATTAGAATTAAAGTGTTCTGAGGTGCTTTCATTATTCAGAAAGTGGCTTAAGATACTGCTAAGATAATAGATATAGAATGAATCATTGCAAAGGAAAAGAAGTTTAAAATAATGAAACAGGAAGACAGTAACTTAGCCCAAAAGGAAGAAATTAGGGGTGGGGGAGGAACAAAGTTAGTAAGATAATAATAACAAGTCAAGTAATACTAATTAAAATAAACATGAATAAACTAAACCCAGTTCAACAACAGATTGATTAGGTTTTTTAAAATCCAGCTATATATAGGCTGGATTTTTTAAAAGATGAAAACACAGAGGGAAATAACAAAATTTGTGTAGCTTTAGTGATACTAAATCAAAATTAGTTTTATGGTAGTATTAAAGATGGAGAAGGCCACCAATAATGATAAAAGGATCAATTCATTAGAAATATATAACAATTTTAAATATGTACATACTTTATAAAATGGCCTCAAAATGTATAAGACTAAACCAAAAAACAACATAGAGATTTCAACAGCTCTCAGTTATTGATAAATAAACCAAGACAAACAATGAATGAAAACACAGATTTGGATAATGCAATTAACAATATTGATTTCAATGGACAAGTTTAAAATAATCAGCAATTAGAGAATATTCTTAAGCATTTTATATTAGCAAAAATTGACCATGTACTAGGTATGAAATAAGTCACAATAAAGTTTTAAAAATCAGTATTAAATGTATAATCAGAAATAAGAGTTCAGTAAGAAAGGTTAAAATTTTTAAAATCATACATTTACAAGTTTTAAAACTTTCGTAGATGAAAGAAGAAAACAAATAGTTAGAACCTAATTACAAGTATCACATTTGGAAAAATTGGGTGATGCAGCAGAAACATTACTAAAGGAAATTAAATGCATAAATTAAAAAGCCTAAGTATATAACTTAAGAGCAACAGAATAAACTTAATGTTGAAGCAAGGAGATACAGGCGAGGGAAGAAATCAATTAATTAGAAAACAAAAAGTCACAATGTCAAAGTGGTTTTCATGACAACAATAAAATTGGCATAATTAAGAAAACAGGGCACAAGTCGATGAAATAAAGATTGAAAAGGAGTCCTAACCCATAGATACAGCAGAGATGAAAATAATGAGCATCTTAATATATTTGAAAACTTAGACAAAATAGATCAAGGTATAGAAAAATGCAATTTCCTTAAATAGTCCAGAGAAGAAATAGACAAGCTACATAGACTTACTCAATAGTGTTGAATAGGAGGTAATTTTTTTTGACAGAACATCTAGTCCACATCTACAGATGTTTCTCTTTCAAGGACCATACTGTTTCAACATTTCATATAAACTCTCCCAAGGATTAGGTCATGTCAGCTCTAATGAAGCCAGTATAACTTCTGATACTAGAATCAGACACATTCAGTAAGTTAAAGACTCATCACACATATTAACAGATGTGAAAACCAAAAACACTATTGATAAGCTAAATTCAACATTATATAAAAAAGGATAACACAGCATGACTAAGTTGTATATATACATTAAAAATCAGAAACTCAGTAAGGATGCCTATTTTATCACAACTTCTATTCATCATTGTAGAAATAACGAGCAAAAGATAAATCAGGTATTTTAAGAGGATGTAACTGAGCATACAAAAAGATGTTTAATCTCATAAATGATAAACTAAGACCACAGTGAATATCATTTTACATCCAATAGATTGAAAAATTAAGAAATATGACAATATCAATGAAGAAGATGTGCATCAAGAAGACATTTACAGGTGGGGTTGTAAACCGATACACAGTTTGCCATAGAAAGCAATTTGGCATTATCTTGTGAAGTTAACCATTTACATTAATACCTGACCATTCTGCTTCTACATATACATACCTTAGAGAAATTTTTCTATAGGTGCCCAAGAGCACATCTATGAGAATGTTCAAAGCAGCCCTGTTTGTAACCACCCAAATATTCATTGACAAGAGAATGACAAATTGCAGGTTTTGTACTTTTATTTAATAGGGAGAATGACCTAAGAAAGCAAGTTTCAGAAGCTCACATGCAGTTTGATAACTTTTATAAAGTTTAAAAACAAGCAAATCTGTATTACACAGGAACAAATTTATGATAAAACTTTTTTAATGTGAAGGAGTGATACCCAAATTCAGAATGATATTACCATTTCTGGTGGGACTGATGGCAGAGCAGGAAGGCAAGAAGGAACAAATGAATAGAGGAAACATTATTAGTAATGTTTTAGTTCTTGAGTTGAAATGGGTTACTTGATCTTCATTTTATTTACTTAATGGTATCAATATATGTATTATTTTGGTTGTCTGCTACTAACAAACCACCCCAAACTTAATTGACTTAAAACGACAAACATTTAAGGTGCCTGGGTGGCTTAGTCAGTTAAGCGTCTGCCTTCAGCTCAGGTCATGATCCCAGGGTACTGGGATCAAGTCCCACACTGGGCTCCCTGCTCAGCTGGGAGTCTGCTTCTCCCCTTCCCTCTACTCGTGCTTTCTGTCTCTCACGTGCTGTCTCAAAATAAATAAGTAAAATCTTTAAAAAAAAAAAAAAAAGGCAACCATTTAATTTTCCCC